AAGAGAGAAGCAACCTGGAACTAAGAAGACACTTCCTGACAGTGAGGACAATCAATCAGTGAAACAGCTTACCCCCAGAAATCGTGAGCGCTCCATCATTGGAGATTTTTAAGAGGAGACTGGACATTCACCTGTCTGAGCAGGGGCTGGACTAGAAGACCTCCAAAGTGCTTTCCAGCTCTATTCTATTATACTAGACATTGGTGAATGTAGGAGACAAGATAGGTATAGTTTAATGTTAGTGCAAACATAAGGCAAGGAAAAAGAATCAATTTCATGTTCAGCAGAAGCAGAAATGGCAATAATCCCCAGTCTTGCTAAACATGGAAAGTGACATATCAGAGTACAACCAAAGAATGAGGAATGCAATTGGAAAAATGACATTATTGACATGTCATCCACACTGGGATTATCTTTCATAGTAATATGTCGAAGAAGATTCTCAGTCATCCAGTTAGAGCCATGGCAATTGGTCTTATTTTTTCTTTGTTTGTTTGAAAAGTTTTGCTGCTTATCCAAGTAGCTTCTTCAGTCTGAGCTGACGACTGAAGCTCACATTGAAGAAGCTACTTGGATAAGCAGCAAAACATTTCAAACCAAAAAAGAAAAGACATTCAGGTGCTATGACTCAACTTTCAGACTTTCCTAGTAATACTAAGGGCATATGCAAATATTTTCTTCTTATATGCATCTTCTTATAGCCACTTGAGTGTTGCAGATGTGCAGAGAAGCAGAGAACAAATGGTCACACAAAACTGAATATTCATTAGGAAATTGGCACATCACCAAGCCCATGTGTCAGATTCTTGTGCATTTTCATTTTTGTAAGAGAAAAGAAGAAGTAAGACAGAAAAATAATTAAATTCACTCTGCTTGTGTTATATTTCAGGAAGTACTAAAGGAAAGAGAACAACTTTTTTGGTACAAAGAAAAAGGTACAGTATTCTTAAAAATCTACTCCAAATAAAAAAAATGTTGCTGTTGTTTAGCAAGCCAGAGAGCTTGCAGGGACACATTTCTTTGAAAAAACCTTAACTTAGAGTTAGATCAAGCTAGATCAATATTAAGGCAAAGGATCTTAAATATAGAAGATCAAACAAAACTTGCTGCTTTCAATAATAATAATAATAATAATAATAATAATAATAATAATAATAATAATAATAATAATAATAATAATAATAATAATAATAATAATAATAATAATGCACTAAAATTAGTATATCAGGAAGGCTTACTGACTACTGAGAGACCAAACTGGCCTACAAGAAAGACCAAATGAAGAACAGAATAGAGGCATGGGAAGACAAAGCACTACATGGCCAGTACATTAAAAAAAAAAATAGCTGGGAAAGCAGATAATAACAAGACCTGGCAATGGCTAAGAGCAGGAAAATTGAAGAAAGAGACCAAGGGACTAATTCTGGCGGCACAAGATCAAGCCTTAAGGACAAATGCATATAAAGTCAAAATTGAGAAGACAGCAACAGACAGTAAGTGCTGCCTATTTATTTATTTATTTATTTATTTATTTATTTATTTATTTATTTATTTATCACAACTTATATGCCGCCCTTCTCCCCATGGGACTCAGGGCGGCTCACAGCATGTTAAAACAATATAAAACATTTGCAAAGACGCTGAAGAAACAGTGGACCACCTGGTAAGCTGCTGCAAGAAGATCGTACAGATTGACTACAAGCAGTGGCATGACAAAGTAGCAACAATGGTGCATTGGAAGATCTGCAAGAAATATCATTTGCCTGAAAGCAAGAACTGATGGGATCATAAAATAGAGAAAGTCATAGAAAATGATAAAATTAAACTGCTCTGGGACTTCAGAATTCAAACAGACAAGCACCTGCAACATAACACCCTGGACTTAACAATTGTCGATAAGAAAGACAAAAAAAGTCTGGATAGTGGACGTGGCAGTGCCTGGAGACAGCAGAATAGACGAGAAATAACTGGAGAAGATAACAAAATACAAAGACCTACAAATAGAAATAGAAAGACTGTGGCAAAAGCAAGCAAGGGTAGTACCAATAGTAATAGGTGCCTTGGGTGCAATCCCAAAACAACTGGAGCACCACTTGAACACCATTGGCATTGACAAATTCGCCATTAGTCAATTGCAAAAGGCAGCCTTACTAGGAACTGCTTCCATCCTACAACGATATCTGTAATACCATCAAACATCCACATCTGCCTATCCCAGGTCCTTGGCAAGGATTCGATAGGTAGACAAAATGCCAAATCCAGTCTGAATATCTGGCTGACTGCGCGATGACCAATAATAATAATAATAATAATAATAATAATAATAATAATAATAATAATAATAATAATAATAATAATAATAATAATAATAATAATAATAATAATAAAGCTGGAAGGGACCTTGGAGGTTATCTAGTCCAACCCCCTGCTCAGGCAGGAAACCCTATACCATTTTGGAAAATGGCTGTCCATTCTTTTCTTTAAAACTTCCAGTGTTGGAGCATTCACCACTTCTGGAGGCAGGTTTTTCCACTGGTTAATTGTTCTAACTGTCAGGAAGTTTCTTCTTAGTTCTAGGTTACTTCCCTCCTTGATTAGTTTCCATCCTTGGCTTCTTGTTCTGCTTTCAGGCACTTTGGAGAATAGTTTGACTCCCTCTTTTTTGTGACAGCCCCTGAGATATTGGAACACTGCTATCATGTCCACCCTTGTCCTTCTCTTCATTAAGCTAGACATACCCAATTTCAGCAACCCTTTGGTCGTTGTGACCAAAACTGGATGCAGTATTCCAAGTGTGGCGTTACCAAGGCATTGAAAAGTGGTATTAATATCCCTCTGTTAATGCAGCCTAGCACTGTGTTGGCTTTTTTGGCAGCTGCAGCACACTGCTGGCTCATATTTAAGTCATTGTCCACTAGGACTCCAAGATCCCTCTCACAGTTACTACTATTGAGCAAGGTACTCCCTATACTACACCTGTACATTTGGTTTTTCTTGCCTAAATTAGAACCTTACTTTTTTCACCATTGAATTTCATTTTGTTAGATAGCGCCCAATGTTCAAGTCTGTCCAGATCCTCCTGTATCCTAAGCCTGTCTTCTGGAGTGTTGGCTATTCCTGCCAGCTTGGTGTCGTCTGCAAATTTGATGAGTTCCCCATCTATCCCCTCGTCCAAATCATTGATGAAGATGTTGAAGAGCACTGGGCCCAGAACAGAGCCTGGGGCACCCCACTACACACTTCCCTCCATGTAGATGCGGTTCCATTGAGTACCACACGCTGAGTATGGCCGGTCAGCCAGCTACAAATCCATCTGGTGGTGATGCTGTCTAATCCACATTTTTCTATCTTATCAAGTAGTAGGTTGTGATCTACTTTATCAAATATCTTACTGAAGTCCAAGTAAATTATATCCACAGCATTCCTCTGATCCACTAATTTTGTCACTTGGTCAAAGAATGCAATAAGGTTTGTCTGGCATGATCTGTTTTTGATAAACCGTTGTTGGCTTTTAGTAATGACTTTGTTTGCCTCTTTGTTTGCTGATTCGTTGTTTGATTATCTTTTCCAGAATCTTTCCAGGTATTGAGGTCAGGCTGATAGGTCTGTAATTTCCTGGATCCATTTTGTTAAGTCCGGAGAATAATGGCGCTTGAGACGAAGCATTTCTAACAAGTCTTTATTCTCTGCTTCCATTCTACGAACAACCTGAGCAGAGGCACGCAGGCCTCTATTTATACCTTCAGATCCCCGGGCAAATTCAACCAATCACAATACTATCTTTTCCCGCCTTGCGCATGCGCGCAAGGCCGGCGCCACTCAGTCTGGTCCCAGGCAGCTTCTGCAAATGCCCGGGACTCTTGCAACGTCCTGAGCCTGCCTTTGCAGGCTCAGGACACAACACCCCTTCCCCCTAGATGAAAGAATACTGCGCCCACATGGACGCCATCCAAGTGATGGTAAAAATAATTAATAATGAGTTAATGTCACACAGTGCATAAGGTGTGGGACTGTTCCTTTGAACCAGACCCAGTGGCCCCCAACCTTGTTTCCTTACAGTCAACCAGCTTGGAGCTTTAATTCAGTTATTGCTATTAACCTGCTCACCTTACGTAATCGGCTAGGTATTTGGGAGGGCCTCTTACCCTGAGCGACCTTCTCGGACCTGGGGAGTCTGTATTGTTTTCCCCGTTACTTCTTGCACTAGGTGAGTTGCCCTGTGGATGACTGGTGACTTCAGTTTGACTTTCCTGCCCGTCTCCTGTATTCGCGCAGTCAGGGCCCTGATGATCGCTAAACCTGGTTGACCTACCCTCTATGGAGTTGTCTAACCCCTCTGAACTCATTTCCGTGTTTCCTGACGGAGTGCGGTTTTCCTGGCTCGTTTCTGTAGTGATAGGGTCTAGGGATGCCTCCCTGTTAGCCCTGATGCGTGAGGACATCCTTCTATGAGCCCCTTCAGCAAAGGACATGTTCCCCCTTTGTGTTGCCTGCTTTCTTGCATGTTGTGAGTTGTGAGTATGCTCCCAGGTATTCTCCGTGTCTGGAGTATTGCTTGTTAGGGTTGGATAATTAGTCTGCCACCGGTGGGACTCCCAGGCTGAAGTGTGTGTGTGGGTGTCTGTGTACCCCCTTTCCCAAGAACTGCTACCTGTAGGGCCTGTGGAGCTTGGGTGTTGAGTACCCGATTCACTCCCCACAGCCATCGTTGGCTGTTGGTTTTGATTCCCAGAATGCATTTCCCATTCCTTCCCCCCCCCTAGAGGAGACTGAGAAGGAACCATAGGCGAGTCCCATCTCACACGTAGTTGATCAATGTGGCGGCGAAGCACGCAGCCGTCTGTCAGGGACACCTCATAGGACAGAGGCCCCGAGACCTTGCAGACCACCGCCGGGACCCAGAGGTGGCCAGGCCCGTAATTCCTGGCCCAGACAGGATCACCTTCACGTAGGACCCTTGGTGGGTGTGGCTGAGACACCTGTGCAGCTACACGTTCCGGATGCAGCCTGTCCAATTTAGTCACGAGCTGACGACCCCAGCGGAGTTTGGCCGGGCACTTACCCATGGCAGTGCACGGAGTAGTACGATGTGCCAGAAGAAAGTCAGCCAACCTGTGATGCCAATTGCCATAAGTCAGCTTCTTGAGGGCGTCCTTGGTGACGCGGACCATCCGTTCAGCCAGACCGTTGGTGGAAGGATGGAAGGGAGCCGAAGCAGCGTGGTGGATCATGTTGGTCCGGAGAAATCCCTGAAACTCAGCAGAAGTAAATTGAGGACCGTTATCCGACACTAGAACATCTGGCAGCCCATGTGCAGCAAAAATGTTTCTCAACACTTGAATAGTCTTGGCGGCTGTGGTAGAAGACACAGGCACGACCTCCAGCCATTTGGAATGGCTATCAACAACAACCAGGAAGAATTGACCCTGAAAGGGCCCAGCGTAATCTACATGTATTCTAGACCATGGAGTGTGTGTTTCCTCCCACCTGTGTACAGGGGCCTGGGGCATTTCAGGCCTGGACTGTTGGCAGGCATGACACCCATGGACTTGGGACTCGATGGCCTGGTCAATGCCAGGCCACCACAGATGGCTGCGTGCAAGCGCCTTCATCCTGACAATTCCAGGGTGGCCCTCATGTAATGAAATCAAGATTCTAGCCCTCAATGAGGCCGGGATCACAACTCTCGATCCCCAGAGGAGGCAGCCATTGAAAGTGGACAACTCATGCCTCTTGACCCAAAAACATTGAAAATCCTCCGCAGGGCACCTGTCAGGCCACCCAGATAGGACCCATGGCAGCACGTGTTTGAGCGTGTGGTCAGTGGCAGTTTCAGCAGCCACATCCCTAGCATTGAGGGGACATTCAGGCAACTCCTGAATAGACAATATGTGTACAGCAGGAGCGGGATCAGGCTCCACAGTAGGTAATGGCAGCCTACTTAAAGCATCTGCATGACCCATTTCCTTACTTGGCTTATGGACCAGTGAATAGTCATAAGCTGAGAGGAAGATGGACCATTGCAGCATACGAGGGGACAGGATATGAGGGGTTTGTTTGGAGGTAGTGAATAGCCCCAGCAAAGGCTTGTGGTCAGTGAAGACCGTAAAATGGCGGCCATAGATAAAGTCATGGAACTTTTTAATGCCAGCCACCAGAGCCAAAGCCTCCCTATCAATTTGAGCATAGTTGCGCTCAGCAGCAGATAAGGTCCTAGAGTAGTAAGCCACAGGGACCTGAGTCCCATCAGCCGTCGGCTAAGAACAGCGCCCACACCGTAGCGTGAGGCATCACAAGCCAGACACACTGGCAACTGCTCATTAAAATGAGCCAACACCGCATTGGATGTAAGCAAGGCTTTAACCTCATTGAAACTGGCCTCATGGACTTTGGTTCAGCGCCAACTCGCATTCTTGTCAAGAAGTCTGTGCAAAGGTTCAGCAATAGCAGCTTTGTGAGGTAGAAAAGCATGATAGAAATTCAATAAACCCAAAAAGGCTTGCAGTTCGCCCTTAGACTTGGGGCTTGGAGCCTTCTGAATAGCTTTGAGCTTAGCATCAGACGGGTGTATACCCTGTGCATCTATCTTGAAACCTAAGAACTCAGTGGACTGCACACCAATCTTACATTTGTCCTGTTTTAGTTTAAGACCTGCTCTCCGGAAACGAAGCAACACAGCCTTTAACCGCTCAGCCAGCACTTGTGGAGAGTCTCCTGCAATGAGAACGTCATCAAAATAAGGACATACACCAGGAATACCGCTCAGGGTGTTTTCCATCACACTCTGAAAAATGCCAGGAGCGACATTCACCCCAAACTGTAACCTCTTCACCCTGAAAGCTCCACGATGGGTGACAATAGTTTGGGCCTCAGTTGCAGCATCATCAACAGGCAGCTGTTGATATGCCTGAGCCAGATCAAGCTTGGCAAAAATTTTCCCCTCCTTGAGAGAAGCCAGAATGTGGCTCACTACAGGCACAGGATAAGCATGTTGCTGTAGGGCCTTGTTTAGTGTGCACTTGTAGTCAGCACAAATCCGGATGTCCCCGTTTGCCTTTAAAGGCGTTACAATGGGAGTTTCCCACGGGCTGGAATCTACAGGCTCTAGAATGCCTTGCTGGAGCAACTTGTCCAGTTCAGCGTCAATTTTACTCTTAAGAGCAAATGGTACCCTCCTAGGCTTAACCCTGATGGGCTGTACCATTGGATCCAACTTAAGTGAAATAGGAGGTCCTGTGTAGGACCCTAGTTCAGAACTGAACACATCTGCAAACTCCTTGCATACGTCAGCAAGGGTCTGTGTTTGCAATTTATTTAGCCCTGTTACTTGAATTCCCAAGGCCTCAAACCAATCGAGTCCAATGAGACTCGTTCGCTCACCCCCCACAACCAACACGTCTAGGGGGCCTGCAAAATTCTTGTACTGTACCTTAAGGGTGGCCTCCCCCTTAACGCACACTTGAGAATTTTGGAAATCCGTAAGGATTA